CTACTGCAATAGCAAGCCTCGTTGCGTACGCTGTAGCGAACAACACAGCTCTGAATCTTGTATTAAAAAACAGAGATCTTCCGGCCAAATGTACACTATGTGGCGGGAACCATCCTGCAAATTACCGAGGCTGTAAAGTCTTCAAAAACCTACAAACTCGGGGAACCAAGCCGAATCGCCAAACTAATATATCAAATTCAATCAACAAATACTATGTAAATGAACACGTCTTGTCAAACACAAGTATAAACAATAACACAGGTCCAAATGTAAATATTGAATCATCGTATTCCCAAGTACTAAAAAATAAAACCAGTTCTAACAAAAATGACCAATACCCGCCAAACCAAAGTACCGAGTCCATAAATAACCTAACATCTCAATTGAATACATTCATAAACAACTTAAAATCCATTATAAGCCCTATTATAACACTTTTAACTCAAGTAATTAGTCAAGTACTTCTCAAAAATAATTATGTCAATTAACTCTAACACCACACCTTCTTTATCGATAATTCTTTGAAATGACAATGGATTAAAAAAACATGCAAACGAGCTATACTACTTTTTGCATAACCAAAACATTGATTTAGCTCTTATTTCCGAAACCCACCTAACAAAAAATACAAATTTTAAAATTAACGGTTATAAAATAATTCGTGCAGATCATCCTGACGGAACAGCGCACGCGGGTGCAGCTATCCTAATCAAATCTTCAATCCTTTACACCAAACTCCAAATCATAAATAAACCATATCTACAAGCTGCAAATATATCAATAAATTTTAACAACTATATTCCTATAATTATATCATCCATCTATTTCCCTCTCCCCAAACGTAACAATTTTGTAAGCTACCAAAGCCAGCAAATTTCAGAACCTAAACTACAATCGTTTTTTCAAAAGCTAGGTAGCTCTTTTATCATTGGCGGCGATTTTAACTCGAAACATATCATTTGGGGTAGTCGATACACGAACACGCGAGGACGAATACTACACAATTCTATTTTTAAAAACAATATCACTTTTATTTCTCCTGATGCGCCCACCTATTGGCCACCCCAAGCGAATAGACTACATGATATATTAGATTTTTTCTTAACAAAAATTCCGAGGCATCTCAATACACACATTAAAAACTTAAATGAGCTATCTAGTGATCATACTCCAGTACTTCTAACCTGTAGGGCAGTACCAGAACTCAACACCAGACAGAATCTCAGCTCTGGTCCCACTGATTGGGATCAGTTTTAACATAATTTAGATAAACAAATATCACTAAACATCTCATTAAAAACGCACGCTCAAATAAATAACGCAGTAAACCAATTAACTACTGTCATTAAAAACTCAATCTCTTCGTCCTCATCTTCAGTTACTCCGAATCCTTCAAATCAAAAGAAAAAATTGAACACACTTCCAATCTACATTATAGAACTAATAAAAGCCAAGCGTAGAGCTAGAGCTACCTGGCAAAACTCAAGATACCTAATTGACAAAATCGTATTTAACCAGCTAACAAATACTCTAAAAACTGAACTATCCAAACATAGATCCACTAAATTTGAATCGCATCTACAATCTCTAACTCCATCTGATGGCTCGATCTGGCGTACCACCAAAGCATTAATAAACCAACGTGACACTATACCTCCACTTGAATGCCCAAACAACAAATTAACGACATCCGACATTGAAAAAGCATATATTTTTGGAAACCAACCATCTGAAACTTTCACTCCACATCCTCCCACTCTAATAAACAGTAACCATGAAAACACAGTTCATTCTTTTTTGTATGCACCACTACCAACATCGCTACCAGCCAAACCAATCACTCCATCTGAAATACTCTCAACAATTAACAATTTATAACCAAAAAAATCCCAGGTCACGATTTAATCACAAATAAAATAGCTAAACATCTTACAAAAAAATCAATACTTCTGTTAACCCATATTTTCAATGCCATGCTGAGACTATCACATTTCCCTCCAACAAGGAAACACTCGATTATCGTCATTATTTCCAAACCAAACAAACTCAAGCAATTAGTTACATCCTATCGACCAATTAGCCTGTTACCTACATTTGGTAAATTATTCGAGAAACTACTACTAAAACGTATTACAACCATTATCCACGAAAATAACATATTGCCAGCAACTCAATTCGGTTTCCGTACTAAACATAACACTATCCACCAAATACACAGAATACTGATCACATGATCACATATCAACCTCTTTTGAGAAAAAACAATTCTGTCCAGGAGTCTTCCTCGATATCTCCCAAGCGTTCGACCGAGTGTGGCATGATGGCCTACTCTTTAAGCTCAAACATTTTCTAACTAACCACAACAATTCCAAACAATATCAATCGCCGCCTTAACAGGGACTGGCCTCGTGACCTACTAGATCCTGTGTTATTGTAATACGGGCGTCAATAAAAAAAAAAAAAAAATTGTAAATAACAAATAGTAAGTAATATTGTAGGTGTGGCCGGTGGGTCACTTCCTATTCAAGTTTTCATGTCACTGTTGTACTTTTATTATCATAATTGCTTATTGTGTAACACTTCACAGATTGTAATTTTCTATACCAATAAAAAAAAAAAAAAAAAAAAAAAAATGATAAAACAAAAAGTTGAACTGACAAAATCTATTTTTAATTATTTTCCCGGCTAACTGACTATTATTTTTTGTCAAATAAGTTCTTTGTATTTCCATTTCTTCGCGATAATTATCGCTAAGGGAATCGATCATTATTTAATAATTTGTTAGTTGTAGTGAACTCATAGGCGGTTTGACATTTTTCAGTTAGTGATTCAAGCATAGTTAGTACCACCCACCCCTTACCGAAAAGTCATACTAGATACAAAAACTTACTTAATTTTTATTAAATTACTAATTTTATATTTCCTACCGCTGGCAGATGCCAAGACCAAGTACCCCCTATTAAAATAACATCCACCCCAAAATTTTTGGTGCTTTGGTGAACCACAAAATTCATGATCAAGCCGCCCCTGAGTGAACTAATCAATGTAGTGAAGTACTCTAGCGTAGGATAGTCATACTGTAGTCAGTGTTTATTTAAAACTTTCTACCGTGGAGGGAGATTCCATAGAAGTAAGTAATTAATAAATAAATATATTTTTGTAATAATTGTTTCTGTATAATTAAAAAAATCAATAAAAAGTTGTCAATAAGAAAAAAAATGGAAAAAAAAAATTATCCCAATTTTCGCCTAATAATGTATATATACTAAGGGTGTTATAATAAGGTATCTCCAAATATAAATAGAATGACTTAGCGTATCGAAATTGTAGACCTCTTCGTTTATTAAATATAGAAGCCTATATATTGTTACGTTATTATCGGGATCATGGATACAGATTTAAATGTTGATTAAGTTTCTTTTTACTACTCCTGAGTCTGCATGTCTTATTTAACTTATTTTAATAACAATATTATTCTCTATGATCTTTGGATGTAAATAAATATTATTTCTTAACTGTTGAGTTGTGAGCAATCAGTTGTTGTTGGAATGAAAAAGATAACTTATAATATTGATGATTGAAATAATATAAGAAAAATTTTGCTAGCTTGTAATTTATAACATTGATTTAATTCTTCACAATAGTAAATAAAAGAAACTAAAAACAAAAAAAACCTATAAAAAATATTTTAACCATACCTGTGATCTAAATAGATCATAGACAGTTCTAAATCTGTTAAAAAAGAAAGGAAAATGTTAGTATAATATAGTACTTACCAAAAAATATTCAGGAAGTAGTGTAGTACTTATAAAAATCCGGGACCCAATTCGGATGCAACTAAATATGTTATTCTTTTTTTACATATTTTGTTATGACAGTTATTAATATTAATATAATACAGTTATAATTATGTTTTAATGTTGCTTTTTGATTTTCTTGTGGATGATATCAATATGGTTACATTTAGTAGTTACATTTATGTAGTAAGATTTCGATTAATTCGATTGTGTTTAAAATAAAAAGTATTACTGAGTTTGGATTGAATATCTTATGTTTTTGAAAAATTTTTATTCATTCTAAAATCATTATATCAGATATTATCATATCTGTTTCTGTTTAATAGTCATTCAAAAATTTGTCTGTTAAGGCGTAAATAAACATAAATGTAAAAAATAATACAATTGTACTACGTAGTACTCATTTAATCTTATTCTACAATTTATTACAAGCAAATGCTTTTGTTACCAATAATTACTTGTATAGATCGTATCATCACAATGAAAACAATCCTATTTGTCTGCAGTTACTTAATATAGTAGCCCGTGGATCACATAACTCTCTTCGTTGGTCATCAACATCTTGTCTAGTATAACTGATATCACTTTATTGTTGGTACAAATTAATTTAAAAGTTCTACACAACCATTCTTGGACATTTTTTCCGTCGTACTACATCCACTTCCTTTTATTAACTGAATTTAATTATTTTTTTCCTCTATTAATGCTTAAAACCAATGAAATTATACCAACTTTAACTCTATGTTTTTTTCACGGTATTATTATCATTTTACTTTTTACTTTTCTAGTACCAATTTGTATCTATATATTTAACGCGATTAATAACGAACTATTTACCCGAACTAACCTAATTTTTTAAGTAACGAAAATTAAAGTTCTAAATCTTTTTTATAAATATATACACTTAGATACTTAATTATAATATATAGTGTATGTAAAATATACATTGATTAATTTTTTTAATAAGCTAAATATATCCTGTTTTACGAAAAATACAATCTTTTAGCAGATAAAAAATATTGAATATTATTTAATTGAATATCACGTAAAATATAAATCCGACTATCTTTTAAATCGTATTACTCACATATAATGTACGTTTGGATAATAGATCTTTTTGAATCATCAATTATATTAGTACACGACACTAATCTTTGTGGCGGTTGATATGCTTAATAATATGATAATTGTTGTTTGTTTCAGTTGAGTACACAGAGCCTGTATTCAAAAAAGGCAGAGTTTACAAAGGCATTTATTGTCCAACGCTCACCAACAGTTTCCGAGAACCCAGTCTTGAACTATCGTATCAAAGATACTCACACAGACAACGACAAAAGTCCTTAATCATCGTTAATTTCGTCGACATGACACTTAAAGCCGTTCTGGCCGGTAGGTTGTCTTAAGATTTGGTTAAAATATTATAAAATATCATCAGCCATTGATTAAAATAAGTGCCAATAAAAATAATAAATTGTACAAATAGGTATTAACATAACAGTTGTGCAGAGTAAAAGCATATATAAATAATAAAAAAATCATTGATTAACAAATGTCGAAATCTGAGTAAAGTGTAAAATATAAAATAACTACCATTGTATTCTTTTTTAGATTAGTATCAAAATCTCCTTGTACATTAAATCATTAAAATTACGACTAAATATATGTTACGATTATTTCTATTACTTACCAAATTTTAAAAAGAAACTTGTTTTTTGAGTAGTAAAATATTTGAAATTATAAATTTTTTTTAGAACTGAATCTATGTAATTAAATACATACATATAATATGGGGGCCGAGTAAGCATTGTGATAAATTGATCTTGCTTGACTCTCAGTTAAAAAAAAAAAAAATAATAAGGAAAATAAAAAGAAAAATACATACATACATCAATAAAATTAATACATCGACCAAATTAGTGAATTTTATGTTCAACACGATGAAAAATATTTAACAAAGATAATTGAAGACGACAAAAAGGTTTTCAATTAATTAGAAGAATTCCCTGAAATATTGATTTATTTGGTTAGAAGTTCTGTTCATAATTATTTATTTTTTTCATTTGAATATTTATGAAATCTTAAATTTTAATTAATTTACCGATCGATTTATTAAAGACTGTATTTTATTTTGATTTCTATATCCTAGAATTTTTTTAATGATAAAAAAGAGTTAACTAGCGCTTTTATGGAATTAAAACACTTACTATATCACAGGAATGTCGAGAACGTCGAGAGAGAATATTTTCAAACAAACTAAAATATTATTTTATAACGCACGAAATGAATTGCCCTAATAACGATAAAACTCTCACTTACCATCCCCTGATAATTAAATCCGATTTTCACCTGTGACAACCATGTATGGAAATTCTTGCGTGCATATTTATTTAGGAGTGTGGCTGTTGCCGACTTATCACGAGCATCCGTATCATAGTCAGAGGGCCATATGGACGTGTTTGACCATGTTCGCCAATCTCACGGTATGCCTGCTTGGCTGGTGGAAATGCTTTGCAAACAATTATCTCCAGTGGGCCGCCGTTTTCACTTGGTGTTTCATCAACGTACAAGGTAACACTGACCAATGATAAAAACAACACGAACCGTACGTGCGTTGATGATTTTTTTTTTCTTGGTTGTATAGTAATACGTACGTGTTTCTACAATACGTTTATGACAATTTTCAAATCTGATTTAACTAAAAAAATGTCCAATCGACTAACGAAAAGCTTTTTTTATTTAATCATTTTTGGAAAATGTCATAAACACAGTGTAGAAAAATAAGCCCGTACAAACTTCCACCAATGTACGTACATCATTAATTAATTTGTTTCTAAGTGAACGTTAATAACGTTTAATGAAATGAGTTTGTATAACTCTGGTTAGGATTATATTTTTGTTCGTACCGACTTCAAACTTAACAAGTCAAATCGATTGTTTGTTAACTTTATTGAATAACCTGATGGTCTTGTGTTGGCTTAACTACTCTACAACTTGAGTTTATTTGTTCCGTTAACTTGCCCGTCTATTCTATATCGGCGAGTCATTGTTCGCGGTGATCATGGTGAAAATTTTATTCGGAATTTTCGTAACAGGTTTTGTATGGGAAAGCTACGGACAAGGATCCAGAGAATATCTAGTGTGGTACGTTTTGTTCATAGTTTTCGTAACTTACGCCATGTTACCTCTACCGTTGCGATGGTGCATACTGGCCGGTTGTTCTACCGCACTACTGCACATACTCATAACCAGTTACACAAAGTCGTCGAAAGAAAAAGTAACTACTCCGCCATAACGGTTTTGAGAAGCTGATGTTGCCCGATCGAAAAACGGGCATCGGTGTACCTTTTGTATTTACTCATATTACTCATATCTGTTGTCCGTGTAGAATACACTGTGCGTCACCCGTCAGTTGACTGCGATGAGCTTGTTGTACGCTGCCGTCAACTTTGCCGGGATGTATACAAAGTTCCTAACAGATAGAAGCCAACGAAAAGCATTTTTGGAAACTCATAGATCCACCGAAGCGCGGTTCAAGACTCAAAAGGAAAACGAACAGCAAGAAAAACTCTTACTTTCAGGTACAATACATTCAAATATACACACGGATTGTATCATTAATGTTTCGTATAATATTGTAGTTTTACCGGACTTTGTGGCTAGAGAAATAATTAAGGATATTGCTTCTGAAACGGACAAAGGACCTTTCATGCCAAATCAATTTCACAGAATTTACATCCATCGCTATGAAAACGTTAGCATTCTCTTTGCGGACATTAAAGGTTTTACAGGCAAGTAAAATATTTATCCTCGACAACACTCGTCTTTTAAATAAAATAAATTAAATTAATAATATTCTGTCCTCAAAGTAAATATTATTACTGTATTCCATTAATATTTAGTTTTAGATTGATAATATGCATATACATATTCTTGATGGTCTTATAATTGTTTATACAAATGGCTAAATATCATATTTATTTTAACTTATAACTTATAACTTATAATTTATATCAATATTGAAAAAAAAAAACATTATATTTTAACAAAAAAAATCAATTTATTTCCATTTAAAAATTTGTAAAAATCAATCACAATTAATTTTGTGTTTTTGTTTTTAATTTTTACTTTTTTTTTATATATTTGTTTTTAGAATGGGCGAGTCGTACTTGTGCACAAGAATTAGTCAGAGTATTGAACGACCTATTTGCTAATTTTGATAAACTAGCCGCGGTAAATTTCACATTCTATTGTTATTTTTTATATTATTTTTCGTTTATCAAATGTGTCTACTTTCTTTTACTTTTTAGGAAAACCACTGTCTTCGTATCAAGCTTTTGGGCGATTGTTATTATTGTGTATCAGGTCTTCCTCAAACTAGACAGGACCATGCCGTATGTTGCGTAGAAATGGGCTTACACATGATAAACGCTATTAAAGACGTGCGAAATAAATTAAATGTAAGAACACTACGTTGAATCATTTAAAAATGCAGACATTGAATACATTTAATTAAAAACAGGTAGATCTAAATATGCGTATTGGAATACATTCAGGATCAGTCCTTTGTGGAGTTTTAGGGCTAAGAAAGTGGCAATTTGACGTATGGTCTTATGACGTTACGTTAGCCAATCATCTAGAATCAGGAGGAATACCTGGGTATTTACAACACTATATAATTACCTTCCACGCGCGTCTATATTAACATTAATTAATGTGTGATTACATTTTAGACGTGTTCATATATCCAAGGCGACTTTAGATTGCTTAGAAGAAGCTTACGATACTGAACCCGGTCATGGAGAAAATAGAGATGCTTATTTAAGAGTAATTTCAATTACCTAAAATGACTTGATTATTCCGTGATATTGTATTTTACTATTCAGGATCACGGCATTGAAACGTTTTTAATTAAAGATCAAGAACCTTGTCGAGGGCATAGAAAATTTCAAAAAATCAACTCTTCGAGACCCCGATTATGGTCGGATGAAAAATTGAGCTTCAACCCTAATGCGCATAAACTAATATCGCCAAAAATAGGTAATTACCTGTTTTTAATTAATTTATATATTTCATTAACGTCTATAAATAAATATACTTTAAGAAACTGACAGTTTGATATATTGCGTAATATAAATTAATTCAATATTAATCTATCAAGCTGTTTTAATAGATAAATTCCTACTTTTACTGATGATTAAAATAAACTATCTTAAATTATATCACTTAAAAACATTTGTTGTAAAACTGCATTTTTGTTTTTTTTTTTGCGATACTGTACATTGATTCTGACTTTTCTATTATAACATTGTGTTAAAAATATGTTTGTTGCATCTGTACTACATGAATAGTGTTATAATACATCTTAAATTATTTTATAATGAACGACAGAGTTCCATGATATATGGTTTATTATCCATCAGTTTAATAGTCGTCATAATTATTATTATGTTACATATCAATTTAATAGTTCTTTATTTGCCACTAGGATGAGAGGAAAATTTAGAATATTTGCTGAATATTTAATGTTCACTTTTGCATTTGTATGATAAATTGATATAATAGTAGTTATTGTTTACGGGTTAACATATATATACATATATATTTATATATATTATATTATGATAGAATGCAGGTGCAGTAACAAATTCAATTTATTTAATCACTAGTTTCAAGAGCAAACCTATTTCGTTAATTTATACTTTTATATAAGATATAATATACATATAAAGATGGTAGCTACATTAAAATAACAACATTTCTTAATAAGGTAGGTGAACTTTTAATGTTCTAACTTTCACAACAACAAAAAGTGACTTCTAAAATTTTGGAAAATCGAAAAGTTAAATTATCTATGAACCGCACAAACTTCATTATATACAGATAATATAACGTAATGTAAAATATGTGAATTGATATGCAGCAGAGATTTTCGGCATAATAGTTCGGAAATCGACTGCAAGCAAAGTATTAGTTTAAAAAAAACTTCTGCAAGGAGATCAGTTTTTTCACACTTAACTAGTTGAATTTTTGTCCACATGCGATGGAAAATATTTTAATTCTTAAAGCAAAAATATTGTTTATATACTATTGAGATCGTAAATATATATATATATATATATATACACATATATGTATATTACGCATTAGCAATAGATAGGATTATAATTATAATTCAACGGGTTTAGAGGATTATGCCGACGATAACAAATGTAACGAATGGACTCCGGAGATTCCGTTTAAAAATGTAAGTATTATAACTCGTGATATTTGCACAAATCAAAAAATGTGTATTTATCATAAATCACGTATAAATAGACGTTGAACATGTTTCATGTGTAGCTAAACACGAGTGATCAAGAATTGGAAATCGACGACGGCGAATGCGGTACTCCGATAACGATCGAAGGCGATGTCGAGCACGCTGAAGACATAATGGACCATTGTATCGAAGTCGAAAGCAACGAAAGAATGAGAAACGAAAATATTGGCCGATGGACGTTGAGGTTTAAACAACCGGAAATCGAATCAAAAGTAAGCGCGTGCAATATCGATAAAAGTATACCTATATTATTATTATTATGTTAAAAAATTCTCTCGTTTTCGTGAGATAATCCTGAACGAAAGTTCACTTAATGGTGGAGTAAAGTATGATCGTAAGCAAATATTATTTAAATACAAAAAAAAAAAAAAAAAATCGGTGTGTATTTCAGTTTTGTCAGTTACGCGAAGACATGTTCAAATCGAACATGGCGTGTTGTTTTATCATTTGGCTGTTCGTCGTGTGTTGTCAGACGATAATGTTGCCCCGGTGCATGAAACTTCTGGTGGCCTTAGCGTTCACCACCGTGGTGCTTTGCGCCGCACTGACGCTTGTCATGGCCGAAGAGTTCTTGCACTTGCCGTCGGCTTTGCAACGGATGTCCTCGGTGCTGGTGCAAAACCGATTCAGAAGAACGATGTTCATTTGCGCCGTGGTCGGTCTTATATGTTTTTCGTCCACGCTAAGTCTCGTAAGTCTCGTTTTCAATTTAAGTATTAACATTATATAACACTATATAAATTACTGTCAGGATTCGATATTTAAATTATATTTACACTTATTACCTGGTTGGTTATGAGATTATTAAATCGTTATATATTAAATAATTTATTCTTAACTTATACAGACGAAAATTGAAAATTGTTTACCAAATAAAGCTAAAAAATGAAACATTTAAGTTCAGTCCAACGTAGTGAATTATTATTTTTTCACTGTCATTGCTACGTTTCAAAATAACAAACTTTCTTTTGGAAATAATATAACAGTTACACACGTTAATTTTCATAAACAGTAGTTATACATAATGTGTTCCATTTCTTTTTTGTTTTTGTTTTTTTTTTTTTTTTTTTACCTCAGCGTACAAAGCCATAAGCTTCGTGACCTTTCAAACGTAACGGACAATTTAATCTCATTGTAATTTTTTATTTTTTTTCGTCACTGATTTTTGGTGATTTTTATCGAATTTCACCGTCTGGTGACATAAAAACACACGCTGAGGCATTTCGGGGGCGTTCGGGAATATTGGCGAAAAGTCGAAAGCGCTCGCTTTGGCTTCGAATCTCCGGGTCCACCGCTCCCCAACGCATAGGTCAGGTTCTGATCCAAACTGACGGACGCGACCGACGTGTTTCCCAAGGTGTTCACGCCGGACGAACACTTGATACGGAAGAACAAGCCGTCGTCCAAGGGCTACGCGTCGGGCGACGAGCACGACCGGAAAGATGTGAAACGGCGACCGGAAGACAACGGCGCCGTCGCCAACGACTGCGTGCACCCGGAGTACCTGGTGTTCACGTGGGTGCTGTGCCTGATAGCGCTGGCCACCACGCTGAAGCTGTACTTCCTGGTGAAAACGTTCCTGGCGTCCGTCATGGTGGCCGTGTACACGGGGCTCACGTCGCTGGCCTACCCGCAGGTGTTCACGCAGAACGACTCGGACCACCGGACCATGCCGCTCTCGTCGCAGATGATGCTGCTGCTGATCGTCTTCCTGGTGCTGGTCGCCTACCACGCCCGGCTGGTGGAGGTCACGTCCCGGCTGGACTTCCTGTGGAAACGGGAAGCCGAACGGGAGCTGACCGAGATGCGGGAGACGCGGACCAACAACCGGCAACTGTTGCGCAACATACTGCCCGACCACGTGGCCCATCACTTCTTGTCGTCGTCGCGCCGGCACACCACCGACGTAAGTGCGCAGCGCCGCCGTACCGCGCCCGTCCGACGCGACACGTACGCTTAAGGTGAAGTTTCCCAGACAAGGAGGGGGGAGGGGGCGATGTGCCTCCGCTTACTGCCCGGTAACAGCATTTGCATGACCGTTCTGCCGTGACGTGGTTCAAGCGAAATAAACAACATTAGAATAAATTTATTGTAGGTGAACTTTTGTCGAACTTTCAAGAACTTAAATTTGAACATTCGTAAAAGATAAAAGTTATGCTACAACGATACTAAAAAGAAATAAAATAAAAGCTCTAATACATGTACCTCATATATTCACCACGCACATCACGTTTGCTATTGTGCCGTACACAGCTAAGTAGCCTGTGTTATCGATTCCGGCGGAAACCGTGCGCGTACAGGTATCCGGGGATTTGAGCGGGGCGCAGCCGTGACATTTTAGTTACTTCATCAGCGCAGATGACGCTTAACGTGAACCGGTCAGCCTTGTCGGTTTTCAAATATATTATCTATTGGAATAAGATAACGTTATTTTTTTTTTTTTTAGCTACCCTTATACACCACGATGTGTAAGCCGGCTTTCGTTCGAGGCTTACCTTAGATAAAAGTCCTGTAACTGCCACCGAACAAGCCGACAAATATAAATGGCGCCTTACACAACGCAAACATGTTTAAACGTAGTCAATATCTTTTCTCGGTCTTGAACTTCTTATCGTTCTCGTTGTGTAATTACGTGACGGTGAAAAATAATTTAAAAACAACTATTGAAAAATAATTTCCACGCTTGGCGACCCTGGCCACTGTTCTCGTTGAAGCTGTATCTAAAATAAAATACGATATAATGATTAGACAGTATTAATGTACACCCGGAAAAATCGATAACCGTGGCAACGCTGTAACGCTGTTGAAGCAATTTCTTCGCAGGGTCACCGTAAACTCTTTTATTGCGCATTTTTAGTGAACATTGTTTTGCCGTTTGATTAAACGGCAAAATGAATTTCTGTATATGTGTTGAATATTTCATAACGAGAAACCGTTCGATGTACACCATGATCTATTTAATATTATATACCGAAATAATGAGACGAATCAGGGACGTCTGAGACAGGACCCAGGTGGTAATATATATATATATAGGTGGTGTAAATATATTGATTTATATGACTATTATATTAGACAATGGATGTTTAAAACTTTGGAATTTATATTCGAACTTCTTAGACAATGCTTAACTAAAACTTACAATTAAATTACACCGAGTATATTTTGCATTTTTTTGACATTTTAAGGTCATTTCATACTTTTTTTTTATCCATTATTTACTTGTTTTACGAGTGTTTTGATGTTTTAAGGACATTTTTATAGACATTTTACAGCATCGGTATTCGTGACATACTAATCACTTACAATAATTTAAAAAATGTATTATTATAAAATATCTATAAAATACCTGTAATATAGTTAATTTATTATTTTATATTATATATATACACTATGTATCGTTGCATCTTAAATACACTGTTTAAGTGTGTATGTGTAAGTAGGTATAAGATTATATTTACCGTATAAGAACTCAGTGGCGGCGCAATGCGGGTTTTATTGAAGCAGCTGTTTCGTGATTAAAATGGGATGAGTAGGTGTGTGTTATATGACAGAAAAGTGTAATCCATAATTTGCAGATTTTACATTAAATATTATTCTATATTATTTTGTTAGGACTCGTTCATTTTAATATTTATTCTGAATATAAAACTTTGACTTGAGAGGGGAAGGGGTACTTGATACACGGTAACTGCTTCATTAAAAAAAAACTTCTTGCCTCCCATGTAAGTACCAATTTATATTTTATAGGAACTGTACTCGCAGTCGATCGACAAAGTCGGTGTTATGTTCGCGAGCATACCAAACTTTACGGAGTTTTATTCGGAAGACATAAACAAAGGCATGGAGTGCATCAGGTTGCTAAACGAAATAATCGGTAAGTACGTGTGGGAATTATTAAAATATGATGAACAGGTTGGTATGGTATTTAATAATATTATAATATAACATCATACCCCTTCCTGTATCAGTTCTCAATAAAACAATTACATCGACGATGGGGTCGCTTATTAACATACTATGAATTGCTACACAACCGTTCATTTTCGATTGGTTGATTTCTAATAGCATTACTTAAATTAATTAAACTTAATAAAAGTGCGTTTGCGAACTATCCGCTGAACCAAATCAAACATTTTTAAATATCCCTCCTCTCGTGATATAAGCTACCGAATTTCCTTTATTGATATCGTGATGATTAATGTTTAAAGATTATAATTTTTTTTTTTTGCTCCACATTTTAAACGTATAAATTACGTGACATGTTTTGAAAGACGCTATTCGAAATAGTTCAGTAAAAACGATCGTAATTAGTCGTGTGTAACAATGCCATATATGTTAATATGCGGTCGACATTTCCACAATGAAATCCATAATTCAGGTAGATCCATTAAAAGCGTATGTACATATGTGCATGCATGTACATTATATACGAATAAACGTCCGTTTTATCGCGTTGTCGGATGTTTTTACGATTTCTGTACACAATAAGCTTTACGTGAACGTCTGCAACTTCACTTCGGAAGCTATAGTTGTTTCGTCATGTCAGTTGAGTATTCGGTTCAATTAAAACCATGGGCGTAGCTAAGATTTGAATCAGGGAGAGAGGGGCAAAAACATAAAGCGATTAGTGTTAAACTCGTAATTCAAATAATCTACAGATAGACCATTGGATAACACATAAAACGTCAAAACAATTACACGTGTATATAACACTCGGTCCCACTAAACTATTTTTAGACATATTTTTTTAATTTTTGATTTTAATGTAAAACTTACACGTTTGGTATAAACAAATATAATTCAGTTTAAGGCGCAGGGGTAGGCAAGTGCCCCCCCTGCCCCACCCTTGGTACGCCCATGATTAAAACTGTCACGTAAACGAGTTTAACAAATGTATAATACATTGTCGTTGCTGTGGCGGTGCGCTTAATTAATTAGATAATGATGTACGCTTCAAGTAATTTGTTCGTTTTTGTCGGTAACAATTTCTTCTTCCATTTGTTCGTGCATCACTCGGTGAAGAAAGGGTAGGTAAAACAAAGGAATCAATCGAAAGATTTACAAAGTCTTTTATAATAATTATAATTATGTGAGATGAGTACGTCATATATGACATATATATTAAATATTATACTCATAAGTTTATTGAATCGTTGTTACTTGGTTTCATTAATTAAACGGTTTTATAGCCGACTTCGACGAACTGCTATCGGAAGCGAAATTCGGTTCGATAGAAAAAATCAAAACCGTTGGTGCAAGTTACATGGCCGCCTCTGGATTAAATCCAAGTATCAAGGTAAAGGTTCTTTTTTCAATATATTATTATTATCTAAATTGAATCGTATCAAAAGCACATACAGGACAAGTGCACATTGTGTTAGTGACACCAATCGTGCATGGATGTTTTTGATTTAATTTCGTTCAAAAGCATCGTTCCGTATATATATATATCGTATATACATACTAGTGCCAGGGCACGTGTCAAACTAAAAGCCATATCAATTTATTTTCTACACAAAAATCGAATTCGATTTTACCCGTCACGTTATTTTCACCCAATTTTATATGCGTACACGGAAAAGATTGCTAAAAATTTTTTTTTATGTTCATTTCTTAATCACCTTATGCAGTTTAACTCGATTTGATGTTTCAAAAATAAAATTAATACAAAGTATTCACGATGAAGAAACTATTGTTTGTTCTTGTTGCGATCCGTTTTTTTTTTTTTTACAATTCACTTTCACTTTAAATATTTGCAGTTTTTTTTTCTTTTATTAATATCTACTTGGATAGTTTAAAGACTAAAACATATAGATACAATTTCGAACACAAATATAATTATTTGAAAAATCGATTGAAGTAAATTATATTATACTGTTATCTTAGGACGGGGAAGACGAGTACAGTCACCTTTGCGCTCTTGTTGACTTCGCATTGGCCATGAAACAGTGTTTACAAGATGTCAATGTGCATTCGTTTAATAACTTTCAACTCAGGGTTGGTAAGTACAAAAAAAAAATATAAACACAGAACTAAAGAAAGTCATGGTTTATTAATATATACTAATGAAAGTATAATGTGCGCAATTAATCAATAATAATCAAATCAAATGCCGTACAAGTATACGGAGTAAATATCATAAGAACTACTTCCATTTCGCATTGCAGTAATTTTTCAATTTTCTACGTATACGCTATTTCGCGGTTATTACATTAGTACATCATGTGCGTTGCAATTCAAATACGTCTTAAGGAAATTATTGTTTCCCTTTTCTTATCACGCCGTAATTTTATGATATTTATAGGTAAGTAATGTTACGTCGTTAAATTCGATATTACAACGATATTATATCAAACCACAAACGTTTCGTGTACCGTTGTAGCGAAATCAACACAAAATATTGATATTTATCATTTCTTAAATCACATATTTTATCGTATGCGTTTGATTTGTGTGCGCGACAGGCATAAGCTGTGGCGCCTTAGTGGGCGGAGTCATTGGAGCGCGAAAACCCGTGTACGATATATGGGGAAACACTGTGAACGAGGCGTCCAGAATGGATTCTACGGGCACCATGGGTCGAATACAAGTGCCAGAGGGTACGGCCAAAGTAAGTGACGACTACCATACGATCGGGTTTTATTAAGTATCTTATTATTATCATTATTGTATTATTATTATTATTGTTATCTCATTATTATCTCGAACGTTCTAATACTGTAATACTTATTGTCTTGGTGCGTTCTTATCGTGACAACACGTGTGGCTGGTCTATTTTATTATACGATTGTTATCTATTTTCGAACTGCAGCTGAAATTCATGCAAAGTTTTCGTAAAGACGTATTGAACTGTTTGATATTAATTTTGTGAAAGCGACATCGAGGCGTTATTACTTATGACTAGAGCTTGGTGGGACTTATTGCATTGATAATCATGAAAATATACGTGCAAAGATGCATTCAAATATTATAAAAAAATTGCAAGTACACGGAAAAAAAAAGTGATATGCACTCAAATATGTGAATAAAAATTAGTATTTATACGTTTATATAGTTAAATGTTTCAGTTTTCTTCGGAGTTTTCTCTTAATAGCTCTGAAAAGATAAAAACCATTTTCTTAAATACCTAATTTTACTATTTATTTCGTATAATATTTTACCTTTGAAATTGCACTAAACAATTAAAGATTTTTTCATATTTTCGAATTTTAACGATCGTCGATTGGAAGTGAGTAAATTTTTGTATAAAGAAAACAAACGTTCGGCATCAACTGATGTTATTGGACAGTTTTTCATGCATGTGAGATCATTTAAACTCCAATATTCGGGTAATCTGTCTGTGTCTTCTTTTCCACTTAATATCTCTGATATTTTTAAAACTGTTTGATAGCCTTTATTTTTTGATAAAACTGACTCAATTTTAATTTTAATTAATTTTTCTTTTGCTTCTTTGACAACAAAAATAAAATCCATCAATGGAATGTTTTATTTTTCAAGTCTTGTAATTAAATCGTGTAAAAATCCAAAATGTGATTTAATAAAAACAAGTTGGGCTCGAATATTTTGATCAGAGCGATACTTTTTTGAATTTTTTATTGATACTGTATCATTATTATCAAAATAATAAATGATTCGTTTTATTTGCTCAAAATTTTCACAGTAGTAATTCGCTGCCTTTAAGGTTTTCGTGCCCTATCTTGTCAAAATTGGTTCTGGTGGAAGTGATAGAAATGGGGCTATTGATTTAAAATATTGAATGCGAGAAAGTGTTTTACGGAAAACGTTTTTCACATTTGCGATAATTTTGTCAACTTTTGAATATTCTGCTCGTACAGTTTTAGCGATCCTTTGGAATGTATGGGCCAAACAAATAATGAGTATAATTTTTGAATAAATAAACTTATGGCTTCTCCAGTTTTAACCATATAGGGGGTGATGTCACTATGAAACAATAATACTTTATCATACTGAATACCGTTAGACCAAAGTTCATTGATTTATCAAATAATTTACAAATCTTGGAATGATTACACTTTTTCAACTCCTCAGAATACAAAATAAAAGTCATACTATGCTAAGGTTCATTTAAAATGTAAATTACAACATTTGCTACATACCTGCTAGTAACATAGTAGTTTCATCTATTGATACCCAAATTCATTTATTTTGAACAAAATCCCTAATTTTTTTAGTTGTATTTTCATAAATATCATTATCATAACCTTTTCGTAACGACGTCGATTCAGAAGGAATATCTTTACCAGTGTACGTAGACAGAAATTCTTTAAAATATGAAATTGATAGTTTATTTAAAGGTAAATTGGCAAACCAAAATACCTTCCATAGATTGTGACTGAACATAGACTTTTATATAGCGTCCGTTATAAATTGTTGTATAAGTATTATACATGTACTTGAGTAATTTTCAACACGTTTAGCTTATATTTTTCCATTTTAAGATGTTGGATGACAGTAATATATATAATATAATATAATAATAACAAATAAATCTTTTATCCACGCTCATTTTCGTTTCAAAAAATTATAAAACAATACATTTTGGTCTGCCGAAAAAACATCTTACCCAAATTCTGTAACATATTTTTTAACTAAAACACTCGTTATTTGCTTAGGAATTTTTGTAACGAAACGAAATAAAATTTGAAACAAAAATAAAAACAAAATATTAAAATTCAATAAGTCCCGAGCTCTAATTATAATACATACAGGAAAATCGATGCACTTTGTATCTATTGAAGCGCGTGATTTTCATTCGTTTACGATATGAAACCTATACATTGGCACAACTAGAGTGGGTGCAATAGGATTTTTTAGTACCCCTCAGTTCAATTATAACATTCCTGTTTTTTTTCAGAGCTATATAATCTATAGTTATTACAGTGAAATACCATTCAATTTTATTTTCAGCAATTTCACCACTCTCAATATTTGGGCTCTAGTTGTTCCCATGAATCCGTGTACACAACGACGTTTTGATTTTCAGTAATTCAGTCCAAGTCTATAATAGCTATTCCTGAAAGTACATACGATCTGTAAATTCAATAAGAGATTTCGAACGCGGTTTTCGTGCGATAATTCATACTGAAATTGTTGCATATGTCAACAGAACTTGGAATTCAAATTAATATAAATTTGCACAGTATTTAAATTCTTAAGTAAATTTCATGTTTGAAATCTGATTCATATATGAATTTTGTGTTACACATACGTACCTAAGGCAAGTTTTTTCCCATTTCTCCGTACAATCAACATAAGAAAACACAATAGACCAACCCTATATGCATATAATTATCCTAAAATTCAATAAAAAAAACCACTGCGAAATTTTGCATGTTACGACGATTTTTTAACGAAAATTGATATTTTAAATAGTTTATAAATAAATATTATATATATTAAATATATAATATAATTATAATAATTATAATATATAATATAATTTAATATATTATATAGTTAATTTTGTTTATAAATTATTAAAAATAATTTGAAACAAAAGGTTATTAGCATGTGATCAAAAAACCCACGATAGTCAGCCTACTATAATTTTTTCCATTATTGGCGTGAAAATAAATTAAAAATTAAAAATGTATCAAATAAAAAAAATTGTCACACACGTGTTCAATAAAAAACATAAACCATGTACATAACCATGGCATTACATTATACCTAAAGAGAGAAAGAAAAATAGAATTTCGCACGTTCATACATTATTCATAAAATGTTTTTTTTAAATAAAAATTTAATACAACGTCTCAATTTTGAAAATAGTATATTAAACCTTCACATCATTCTTCTAGTAGGTAAAGAGTTGACCACAGTCGTTGGAATAAGCTACATAATACACTTGATTAGACTGTGCGCAGGCTGTAAAGAAAAAGTGTTTTAAACACGCAGTATATATTACCCGAATTTATGTAAAAATATTCCGTTGGAAATCGTAAACGCCATTTTTCTTTTCGATAATAAACGGTTATGATGTCGTCGTCACGCGCAGCATAGACATACCACTAATCAAGCTAAAACGCGATCCTTAAAGGCTAGCCATTAACTAACACCGCGTCGTGTATTTATTCTCAAAATTGTATATATATATATATATATACATTTATGCCGAGTGTATTAAAATTTATTGTAACAACTACGTAAAGTGTTGAAGGGTCATGAATTTGGCACTTAAATCATGAGTTTGGCACAAAGTCGCCGCCATTCCGCAACACACTGAATATAATAATTACTTTACATACAATATTGAATGCAATATTTACCTTCTCCTTGAAAATATCATTTTACCACAATTAACATCACGATTAATCGGTACCGGAGAACGTTTTGATTTTCCATCACAATCTTCTTTTTCAACTTTTGTTAGTAAATATAAGTCATGCAGAATACATATCTAATCCAATGACAGATATGAGATTCAAGATAAAATATGTACAAATAAAACATAATAAATATACATATATAATAAACATAATAAACATAATGCAATTCAATTCAGGAGTTGTTTATGTAGTAGGAGAATTGTATGGTATCCGGATAAAAGGGAATAAGTATACGAAAACAATATTTCGAGAAAACTAAAAAAAATACTATCAATATTGAAAAGTTATAATTAATTATCAATATTTTTTTTTATATCTGTTCTTGGAGTATTGGTTTTCTTAAAAATTATCATCTTTGAAATTCTAAGTTCAATAAGTAACTATTCGATATTCCTTTACGACAGTATTATTATTGATTTTATAATAATATTATATTAGAATATTAGAATTGACTTATTATTTATTACATGATTAGCTTATTCTTGAATTTATTTATTTGTGCAACATTATTTTGATTTGTAAATCTTTTTACTCAATATGAGTTAAATGAATAGACATTAGAGTGGTCCTTAACTATAGAGGTCAATTTTTTTTTTTTTTTTTAAATTGATGACGAGTACCCCAAATTTTGTTCTATGTATTAAAACAATAATTGTGACAAAGTTTGGGCGTGATATGTTTACCCCTTCCCGTGCCTCAAAGGGGTTGAATTTTTATTAATTGGGGATGAATTACCATTTTTTGCATTTACTTTCTTAAATATTGATGTTACGCAAAAAATTATAAGTACTATTATTGTAGCTATATGTATTTACTAAATAAAAGTTTCTCATAAATATGTTGTGAAGTTGATGGTTATCCGTTAATTTAAAAAAAACTGGTCAAAGTTAATGTCTTAGGAAATTTCATAATTTTTATTTTTTTCTCTTATCTCTTAAATTTTAAAGTTATTCAAAAATCGTACATACATTTTGTTATAGAACGTACTATGCTATATTAATAAGGTTTCTTGACGATTTTTGAAACATAATCATTTTTTATATAAAATAGAAAAATAACATTTTTATACTATTATTATTTAATTTTTAACATTTTACATTAAAAAAAAGAAGAAAAAAAGGATAGAAATATAGTAACTTTACTATTTTATTGCATCTTTGGTCAACATATTTTTACTATGGCCTGGATATTTTTTACGGTATTCTTGTACTACCTAAAAAAATAAATCTTAAGTGACACTAGTTATTTTAGTAAATTATTAACATATAACTTACCTTCAATACATACTGCTTTTGATTTTCATTTTTCGTAAATTTGGTATTAAAATCTTCCATCAATTTGACTCCACGTTCGGCTGCATCATTTATGACGCTCAAATGGTGTAAAATATTCTTGGCCTTTTTATAACTATCAATATTTGGCCAATTTTCCGGATTTTGTTGCAAGAAATCCATGCTTAATTTGAACCTTTGGAATATATTTTTCGATTTATGCGTCAATAATTCAAGTGGTAAGTCCTGTTTTAGAAATTGTGATACATCGCCAATTTTTAATACATATTTTTTTTGTATATCTGTGGTAAATTCATCGTCCTCAAGCTCGTCATTTTCTAGTAGTTTTTTAGCCATTTATTTTTTTATTTGATTATCAATTCTGTCATTAAATAACGAAAAACAAGCGGTTTCTTCTCCAAGATACCATAAGTGATTAATAAATTTTTTCATAGCGATCTCAGCTACTTGCTTATCATCAGATTTATAGTCTTCAAGTTTTTTTAAAAAAAGTACATCGTTATAAGGGGCTTTAATAGCATTAGGAGACTTAAACCAAAACTCGATATAGCATTTTACAATAAAACAACAAATAGTTTTTAACGAAGAAATTTCTGCTTTCGTAATTTTAAATTGTTCTTGAAAAATGTATATTTTCAAACAATATATTCCCTTGCACATCCATCTAGCTAGATGATAAGCTCCTGGACGTTTAAAATGAATACCTTTAGGTGGTACCCCACCCATAAAAATTATTACCAATTCCAAAAATTCTTTGTAATCATCCCTTGGTAGATTTTGGCTTAAGGTATCTTTACAAAATATTATAACATCATCGACTACTTTATGCAATATTTTTTTGACCTCAATATCACTTACCCAAGTACTAAATTTAGTTGTATCTATTTGATTCCAGTTATTTTTAAAACGTTTAAAAATTGGAATATCGGGACCGGACATCATTGTAAGTTTTGAGTATGAGAAAATTGATTGCAAAATAATTTCAAATATGTGATGCCGACAATCCAAAAACATTATTGGCCTGTTTAACATTTGTTCTAATAGCACACATGATCCATTTAATCTGCCGCTGTTGGATGCCGTTGTATCAAAAACAAACGCTTGCACTTTTTCCAACATATCCCAATCCTTTTATGTGTCATACACTACAGAAGAAATTTCCTTTCCGGTACCAGATGACAAATGTGGTATTCCAAGAAGTTGTTCTACGTTTGGTGCTGTTATAATAATTGGTAATCTATCTACATTTTCTGTTCCAATCAAATTAGGAAGTATTTTTGAGTCCCAGTGAACAACTACAGAATTTAAGTTTAATTGATCGAACGCTGTTTTAATTTCGGAAGATATTTGGTAACGAAAACTTTCACGAGCTCTCTTAATTGAAGAGCGACTTATCGCATAGTCTTTTACATCTACATTAAATACCTCGACACATGCTATTAATAAGTGAACTGCATCCCTGTCACTAACCTTACATTTGTCTAAAGCTGATGCTAAACGACTATTCATAATTTCTTTCCTACCTCGTTTATTTTTCACTGGCATTGTAATACTTTCACAAATTTCGGAATCTTTAGAGTTAAGCACATCACGTTCATCATCGCTTGATATACTCTCCACAACATCAACACTGTTAGTTGGGCTGAAAAAAAAAATAATAGATATAGTCAATTTTATATTGTATATTAGGTAAATTATTGTTAAAAATCATTAGATAATTTTTTTTTTTTTTTTAATGACAAAATTAATTTACCCGGTTCCATAATCGATGTTTGTTTGCTTGAACAATTCTCTCCTTTGCTCTCGCTCAGATCTTCGTTCTTCAACTGCACATAATTTTTTGTCCACACCTATCATATACTCAACACGACCTTCTTGTCTTTGTAAAGTTAGAAACTGCCTGTCTTCTTCAATTTTAATTATATTGAAAGCATCTTTGTGGGCAATATCAAACAAATTATTTAATGAGTTTTGAAATTTTTTTTCATTGTACTGTTGTGTTGCAGACTTTCTTGTTTTATTTTTATCTAAGCTTCGCCAACTTTCATATACATTTTTTATTTTTCGAACTACATCACAATGATGTTGAGTAGGTATTCTTGCCTTTTTCCAAAACAATAAGCATTCATCAGCAACAAGGCCCGAACTATCATTTAAATTTAAATTTACAACACGCATGTTATGAAATAATACCCGAAGGCAGTCTCCATTGGATGGTAATTTATTTCCAGTAATTTGATTAACCATATTACCTAAAAGGAAAATATACTGACGAGGCATTTTTAAATCAAACGTAAAAAAGAAAAAAAAGAAACGTATAACACTTTGTGTAGAAAAGTCGCACTAACTTATGACACAATTGTGAACACTGGACGTCTAAACAAACCGACAGTTTGACGGATAATGGCAATTTAATATTATTTAATATTATGTTCTATTAATCACTTTTTCAATTTATTATGAAATACTATTTGGCTATGGCTCGTAGATAAAAATGCGATAAGTCAAAGATATAATGTGTTTGTGGTTTCATAGTCTAAAAATACACAACTAATAGTCTAAATATTATGTTATCGGAGGACAAATATCAATGTACTGATTATCGTCATCAAAAATATCGATTTATTGTAAAATAAAATTAAAATTATTTATTAACAAAAAATAATAAAATTAGGGCGAATCGTTAAACATTCCGGTTTCTTGTTAACTGACGGTAAACCATCAACCTTACAACATATTTATGAGAAAATTTTATTTAGTAAATATATATAGCTACAACAATAGTACTTAGAGATTTTTGCGTAACATCAATATTGCAGAAATTAGAGGTCAAAAACTAAAAACTTATGAAATTTCCTAAGACATTAACTTTGACCAGTTTTTTTTTTTAAATTAACGGATAACCATCAACCTCACAACATATTTATGAGAAACTTTTATTTAGTAAATACATATAGCTACAATTATAGTACTTAAAGTTTTTTGCGTAACATCAATATTTAAGAGAGTAAATGCAAAAAATGGTAATTCATCCCCAATTAATAAAAAATTCAACCCCTTTGAGGCACGGGAAGGGGTAAACTTGTCACGCTCAAACTTTGTCATAGTTATTGTTTTAATACATAGAACAAAATTTGGGGTACTCCTCATCAAATTTTTCGATTCAAAAAATAAGGACCACCCTAATAGACATACCGAGCAAAGGTGCTTAAAGTAATAATATCTTGAGTTATTTCGATCGTACAATGGTTTATGATTTACTTCCTTTTTCTTATGATTTTTTTTAAATAATTAAATTTTAGTTTTTTTATTTTATTTCTTAATGCCAATCGAAGTATTACTCGGACACCGTATTTTTATTATTATTATTTCCGTTGTCGTGGTCTCGTAATAAGTTTTTACTCTAACCCGTTATGTAAACACTTGCGCAGATCTTGATGGACAGGGGTTACGAAATGGAATTCCGGGGCTCAATCGCGGTCAAAGGCAAAGGAGAGATGAAAACATACTTCGTGGTGGGCAAGAAGGGCGCTGTAACGAACAACCTGAGCCGGCAGTCGAGTCAGATCAGCAGTTTGGCGACCGTCGTCTACGGGATGGTGCAGGCCAGACGCCGACAAAACACAGTAAAAAAAAGACATTTCCATCGTGAGTGCGCTTCTACTAACAACACTAATAGCTATTACCGTGGTAAGAAGGGTTGTAGTTATACCTTTTTTAATAGGTTTTTTTTTGTTTTTTATTTTTTTTTAACATGTATTACATTAGTCGTTGCGGTCGTTAGCGCTCTCTACTGTTAGCAACAGAGTATATTATATGAGCGATAACAATTATATAAAACAGCAAGTATAATAAGTGTGATCAGAAACAGTAGTGGCTATACGGTATGAAGAAAGCATCGATCGGTACCGCTAGAGAGGATATCAATAGAAAAAATATTAATTATCATGCGTAACCTAATGCATTATACTGTAATAAACGTAGGAGCTTATTGAGCTTAGGACTCGCGTGCGGGCGCAGGATAATTATTAGTCGTATTGTATTGATTGTAATAATGTATTGTAATTTCGGTTTTGCATCCAAATTGAATCACATTAATCTTGCTCCATTGACTAATGACGTAACATTTGCATTAATACGCTGAAACATTACGCTTGTTCGGGATTACAGATGTTTCCGCAACGACGGTGTACGTATACAATAAAATGTGCTAAAGGCTCGTCTTCGGAATCATTATTTTTTTACCTACGTACCAGATACCACAGATACTACTTATACCTATCTACCTACCCGCTTACCTACTCATACACGTGTGCGTGAGTTGACTTACAATCGTAAATTATATATATTTGTTCCGGTCCAACGGGTAACTTGACGCTTTTTGCCCATTATAGAAAACACTGTGACACTTGCTTACATTACGTACAATTCACCTTCTCCAGACCAGTGTTTTCCAAATAGTGGGTCGCGACCCACTACCGAGCCACGAAAATATAATACCGGGTCGCAGAATTTAATAAAATTATCATATTAAATTTGTTATTTATCATTTCGTTGGATGATTTGAACCTTTTAAAAAAAATAAATTCATTAATACGAATAACTATTACTTACAACATAAATAATAATTATTGAGATTATCAACTAGACTCCATAAAAAGCCCATATAGTATGGCATTCACCGTATCTATAAATCAGTATAATAGTTACAAATGCATGCGACAAGCGTCGTTGGTTGTGGATATTCAAATGTGTTTTATTTTGCCTTTTTTTACACGATGATAAATTTAAAATATTTTAGTGGGTTATGAAGTCAAAAATATTTATTACCGGGCCAGCCTAGTAAAGAATTCGGGAAACGCTGGTCCAGGTTATTTATATTGCAGTACAAAACTGTAACTAACCGTACACTAACAACGTGCGTTCTGTGGTGCTGCTTCCTTATCTAAATTGGAAAACAGTCAACCTAATCGCGGTTGTCACTGCCCCTAACACCTAATATGGCATTCTCAGATAATTACTGAAACTTCCGACCATGATCTCTGTTCAAAGAAGTTTCTTATTCGTGGTCTACCTGTGTGTGACTCTACCAACCTGGCTGATAGTATTTCTGAAAATCAATCCATTGTGTTTGAGCTTTTTTTAACACTAAATGTTTCCTTACCAGTTTATTCTAAATTACATAGGGTGGGTTGGATGGCTTCCGGCACCTGCCTTACCAAAGTAATTTTCAACTCCATTTAAGAAACATCTAGAGTACTTCATGATGTCCAACGTGCGAACAATTTTAACTTGTTGTCCCAGCATATAAGCATTGTTCGTGATAAAACTAAGTGAAAATGTGACCAGTTTCGTACTTCCTTGGAAGGCAGATAAGCTGATGATGAAACCAACCTCATTGTTTCATATGTAAAGGGGATTCCAAAAGCCATCAAATGTCCATCAATAAAATAAGAGCCTCCACCTGGGCCCAGGTACCATCAGGATTTTACCAAAACTGTAGAGGTCTGAGATCTAAACTTAGTATTTTTAATTATAATGTTGCTATATTTAATTATGCATTTATTTTTTTGTCGGAAATTTCAGTATTTAGTGACTCAAAACTAGGTATATCCAATTATATTATTTTTAGATGTGACAGAAACATTTCTACCAGCAATCTCAGTAGAGGTGGTGACGTGCTTATTTTCATTCACAATGATATTCCTTCATCTATATTAACTACTTATAGTATGTCAAAAGCGTTGAGCATGTATTCGTAAAAATCTCAATTAACAATAAAAATTATATTATAGGCTCCGTCTATATTCCCATCAATTTCCATGTCATTGTTTATAAGTCCTTTATAGAATCAGTTCAATCAGTCATCTCGACCAACAGCGGCTGCACTTTAATTCTCTGTGGTGATTTCAATCTTCCAAACATTTCCTGGGATAATGATGAGTTCAGCCTAACTTATTTCTATTCATTGAGCCATTGTCTACCGGAATCATTTGCTTACTTTAATCTTTTTCAATTAAATCATGTGCACAATCACTTAGAGAAACTTCTTGATCTCATTTTCTCTAACATCAATGCCCTCCAAATATTTAACAATATCAATCTAACATCGATCAATCAAAATAAAGACCTGGGGGTTCTATTTTCCTACGACTTTAAATTTCATCATAATATACTGTTAATAAGTTGTAAAGGCATATAAGACATTAGGGTTCGTAAAACGAATATCGTCAGACTTTAAACTTACCTTTCCTCTGAAAGTTCTCTATTGCTCATTAATACGTCCCCTGCTTGAATATGGTTCAGTTTTCTAGGATCCTCACACAGCCATGTCCAAAGGCACTTTTTATCTTATGTTAGTAACGCGTTGAATATTTGTCACCCAATTCATGACTACTCACCAGTTCTCCACGAGCTCAGTCTTTCAACGCTAGCCGACAGAAGAGTTATCAGTAACTTGATATTTTCAAAAATCTCATTGACGGCTCTACCGACGTTTCTACGCTCCTTTCCCTGATCAACTTTTGCGTCCTTTCATATCGTGCCCGCTCTACCAACACTTTTGCTATCCCAATGTACGCCACCAACTATAGTTCGAACAATCCGATTCACTACAGAATGCGCCTTTCTTATGTCCACTCATCGTTTTCACTTTAATTTAAACACCTAGTTCCGTCCTACTTCCTCTGATTTGCTGTTTGTATGAAGATTTAACTTTCATTTATTGCACTTTGGGCCACGCCCGTATATAATAAAATAAAATAAAATATTGTTTTGTATAGTAAAACGATTATAGGCGCGTCATTAAGGAGTGATCCTGTAATGCACAAATGTGCACGCACACGCATATGTGATACGTATAACTAATGAACACCCCACACGGAATATACCATTTAGTCGACCGATATCTATATATATTTACATTTTTGATTTTATCAGAATTCAAAAATTTCAATTTGCGTTGAAATTATACATTTTTTTTTTTTTTTGACTCAAATACACATATGTTTATAGTGATAAATTATCACTGATAATACTTGTATGCATATATGATCTATATGGAGAACAATAACTCTTAATATCTTCATGTGACTCGAAATTAACAAAATAAAACACAAATACTACTTCTTTGCCAAACAAATATTGAAGTATTTAATTGTTCACCGTACCTAATTCACACCTATAGCGTAAATAAACTATTCTTAAAAACATCAGAAAAAGTTAAATATTAATTCGATGTAAATACAGTGAAACCTCGTTAAGACGTTCTCGAAGGGAAGGCGTAAAACGAATATTATACGGAGTGGTGTAACATACGGTATCCTGCATAATACGTTCTTTCAGCGTGTTATACGGAATCCCGCGTGATACACTTGAAACTTTTAAACGGGATACTATACAGAATAAAGTTAAAAAAAAGTTCATGGTATTATATTTTACTTATTACATAAAAAGAACATAAAAATGAATATATAAATATAGAATGATGCATACACATTTGCATCTTATAAGGTTGTTTTATTATATTATACGTTACATATACATATTATATTAGGTTAGGTTAATTCATACTATGTATAATTTTTTGAAAAAAAAGTGGTAATGGTTTTATATTAGGTATACTTTTTATGTATTAATTTAAAAAAAAAAAAAAAATGATTGTAGTTTGATGTTTCAATGAGTTTGTTCAATAATTATTTATAAAGAACGTTTCCATCCTACCTAAGTAAAAAAGTATATTTTCGGAGTCATCAGTTGCAGTAAGCGCCGGTCTCAATGAAAATATTGATTGTATTGAATACAAATTGTAAATTTTAATTAAGTGGGTTTTTTTTCTATGTATAATAGGTACAAGTATCCAGAAAATAGAGCGGATATTACGGCATTACGTATTAAGCGTGTTTTTTCAATATAAAAATGCCTCAAGTACTAGAGACCGAAAAAAATCCACGTATTTAATGGAATTGCGTACTAAGCGGAAGCGTCCTAACGAGGTTTTATTGTAAACTTATATTATTTTAGGTATTAATAACATTTAAATATGGTTTTATATTTTTTTAAAATTATGTACATTTAATATATACATATTAATTTATACTATATATATGAGTAATGAAATTATGATAAATTCAATTAAGGAAAGACTGATGAAAATGGCACTTTAAAAAATTCACAACCATTAATTATTAATCAAATAAAAATTTTTATAACATAAATCCGCCATTGTTTCATAACTTATTTATCCCTATGTAAATTCCGACAAATGAAAATAGTTTTCCTACAATTTCCGAAAAAAAAAAAAAAAAATGTTTATACGATGTTTTTGAATATTTTATAATTTTAGTAGAAATGAATACGGTCGGTTTTAAGAAATGCATCATAGCAGAGTTTAATTCTTAAGTAATAAAATAATAAGTAACTCTAAACGCAGACAAGTGAACTAAACTGGTAAATGCTTATTTTTTAACTACATGAAATTAATTTTCCTTTTTCATCACTGGGGTCACAGGTATAAAGTTTGAGTTTGCTATAAATTTAAAATACCACGGTTACAATTAAACCATAAATAATTCCTCAAAAAAACATATCATTAATAGTACTTATAAAATGATAAATATTATACATTGACATTATTTTCTTATAATCTGTATAGTTTTACTTCTGGTGAAATAACTGTAAGCACATAATAC